CTGATGGATCCAGCTGTCCAGCCCATCCTGCTCCTTGCCAAGGGAACCAAATAGAGACACAGCAAAAGCGAGAACAGATCCTGCCAGCTTTGCTGGGACTGAAAACCTCCTTTTTTCCTCCACTCCAATAACCCCAGCAATTTCAAACCTTATCACACATTCTACAGTTACAATTAAGAAGATCTATTTCTTACGTAGCAGATTTTAGGGCTCTCTACCCATGCTCAGAGAGCGTTAACTCTTACAGAGAAATAAGGGAGAACTCACAACTAAGTCACCTCCATAACATGCTCTAAATTCACAAGGTTAGAAACCAAGGTAAAGATCACGGGAACCCAGTGGGGAGTAGGACCTCCCAGAGGGTCCTGGCCTCATATCATTAGACCATTTGTAGTTCCAGACTCATTCCTTGGAGAAATATCACAGAGCGCTGAACTGGATACTGGCGAAGAAAAATGAAGTCCAACATATCCTAGGAGAATTGAGCTTCCATGCAAAAAGGGTATTTTCCTTCCTGCTCACAAGTCCTATCAGGAGTTTGTCATTTTTGGCTTTGAAGAATTACTTGCATGGGTTTGATTTTTTTTTTAATATTTATTTAAACTAAAATCTAAAAACTATAGAAAGGTATAGGTAGCTTTTTACTGCAAGGTTCCTATCTGCAATGAGCATTTCTCTGGAGCCAAGGGACATTTTCACTCAGACTGGTATAAAACAATACTCAGGGGGAAAAAAAAGAGTTGAAAGAGAAATCATTAAAGGTATAGGAACTCAGAGACCTCTTCCTGCTCCCAGATCGACCATCTCACAAAATGAGCGTATTCCCTCCATGAGGAGTCTATATTTAATCCAGACACATCACTGACTATGCCGGAGCCGCCTGGCAGCCCTTTCCTCCTCTTCAAAAAGTACTCGAGATTCACTCTTGGCTTTGTCTAATGAGCGGCCTCCGTCTCACAAGAACATACACCCTTACAGGTTGCAACGAGCGAAGACAGGATCAGTGAAATTTCACCTCTATTCCCTTCATTTGGGCTGCTTCCTCAGAAAGAAAGAAAAAAAAAGAAAGAAAGGAAAAGGCAAAAGGACACACAGAGGCCTCTCCCCACCCTGAACACCAGTTAGCGCTGAAGGATGCTCGCCGACCACCTTGTCTTTCAAGCCTTTCATAACCCTGTTTCGGCACACAGGGCCGCGTGCGATGCTCAGTAACGGAGCGTTACCAGAAATATCCCCAAAGTCAGGTGGCGGGCGATCAGCGCACTCACAAACTTCCCTTCCTATCTGGCATTGTCTGAATGCCTGTGAGCGGAACAGGGATCTTCCGTGGAAATGGGCTGCTGTTTCCTTCACCACGGGCACTTCCTGAGGCAGGTAAAGGGCAGAACTTTGCGCTGAGCAGCAGTACAACCAGGAGTAAAATATTCTCGCTGTTCTCTCACAAATCATATCCATCAGCCCCAATACCCTGCTAGCCACACAACAACCTCATCGTAGGACTCCTGTTCGCCGCAAGAGTTACGGATGAGGTCTCCCCTCCGTCTGCCTTTCCCTGCGACGCTCCTACCTGCCAGCCTACCACACCACCCTCACCACGGTGCTTGTACGGAACAAGAGCTCTGCATGAAACGGTCAAAGGCTTCTCTGCGGTCCCTCGTTTCTATTTCACAGCCCTTTCCTAGCCTGAAAATCTTAACATTACCTTCCTAGCTGTCCAAAGGTGGCAGGTAGCTCTTCCTGCCATCTCAAAAACCATACGGAGTGCAACGTTACCTTCACATACGCAACTTACGGGGTTTCCACCAATTGTCACTGGTGAAGGAATTCTGTGGGCAGCTACAGTACGGGCACGCCAGCCCCCACGCGTGGCCGAGGTCAGCACCGACCTTCGGGCTTAGTCGGAAGATCCTTTGGGGTTTTTTGTCTTTCTTTTTTAAAAGAGGTTTTCACTGTTTAAGATCCCACAAACAAAACCTGTTTATGGAAAAGGAGAGATATTTTGAATACTAAAGTCCTTTATTCAACAACACAGAAATATCACAAAAACAACTTTACTGGGCAAATTGAATGTTTTTATACAGTTTTGTACATGCCCCATAAGTGATTATTTTTTTTTAATAAATACACTGTTTTCCAAAACTGTTTTTTTTTCCATAATTGCACAAGCATACATACACCTTACACAAATATCTATTAGAAAATTTAATAGATAACTGCACAGTTCAGAAATAGGAGAACACTGTGAAAGCAGTACATTTCTGTGGCCCGCGTTTCTGGAAAAAAACCTCTTAGTTCCCTGCAATTGTGAAAATGGGAGTATTTGCTAACACAGGAGCTGTCTTTTATTCACTAAGAATACAGTAGAGCTCAGCGTGAAACTGCCAAATTTAATAAAAACAAAATCTGAAACATTTAGCTGTTACATGAGAACCCACTGTTTGATATCACTATGCATCTAACCATGATCAAAGACCCACTACTGCTTTTTGCTGAATGTATTCGACCCTGAACGGTATGTTCATTTAACTACTTTCTTTCTTCATTATTTGATTACAGACAGAGCCCATTTGAAGACTTCATATTCCTTAGCATTAATTGTATGACTTACATACCAGGGGTTCTGCACAGAAAAGGAGTATTTCTTCTCTGAGGGAGGGCTTGTTATGAATTCCCGCAACGTGCATGCGCGCCTCCCTCTCAGCCTTGCTGTTCTCCACGAGTTTATCTGGGGCATGACAAAAATGCTCCTGCGAGGCTGAGCGCGCCCGCCCAGGCGGCTGCCAGATTACGCTCCGCATTTCTCTTTATTTTGCGTTGTGAGAATGAAAGACACAGAGGAATACACGTTTTCATACGGGAAAATGTTCTTAGACCTTGTGAAAAGAACAAATTTGGTAATTAAACTTGACAATAATCTGATTTACAAATACGTATATAACGTGTGGGGAGGAGGGGAAGGTGAGAGAGAGAGAGAGGCCAGAAAGGGATTTCCTTCTTCAAACATCACTAATCAAAATGCTCTATGCGCACTACATCATATAAATACCTTTTTACCAAAATCAAAAAATGTGATGACGTAAAGGAACAATACCCAAAACCAAAAGCATACGGGGAAATCAAAGAAAAAAACAACTCTTGCTCGTTTTTAATAATTAACAGGTTTGTGTGTTTGTTTTTAACAATTTTGAATTGACATGTAAAACACCACAATTACAATATACAGATCCATCAGTTCTTTAAAACAAAACGACAAAACAAAAAAAAGAAACCACATCAAGACATGCAACATTAGGGTATTAGACAGTTAAGTACATTGCTATGAATATCTCTGTACACCTAATGTAGCCTGAACTTAATTTTGTTTCTACTTCTGCAAGAGCAGTCACAATTTTCCAAAAAGCAAGGCGAGCTTACCAGCCGCGTGTGCAAATAAGGCTTCAGTTTACAAATCAATCAGCGTTTTGGCAGAGAAGACCTTGCAGAGCTCTTAGGGGTCCAGCAGGAAACAGCAGAGGTCCTAACGCGAGAGCCCCCGGCGCCGAGAGCCCGTGCAACGCTGCCGGCTGAGCGGAGGCCCAGCGCGGCGCGCCGCCGTGGAGCCGAGCGCCCCTTGCGCGCCCGAAGAGCGGGGCCGTGACGGACATCCACCCCATGGATGTCCCCCAGCGCGCAACGCCCGCCCGGGGTCACCGGGGCCCGCGCACGGGAGCTGGGAAGGGGGAATGGGCTGGGGTAACGCGAGAGGGGATCGCTCTGCGCGGCGCTAGCCCGGTGCTCCCGTGCTCGGCACCTTGTCTGTGAAACGACTGGTAGGGCTGTCTTGCATAAAGTGGTAACTATCTATCTCAAATACGGGGCACAAGAGCATTCTCTGACTTCGACGGGGTGGCCTTTTCACTCATGAGTGGAATAACGAAGCCAAGCAATAAAAAAATGATGATCAACTGGTATTAAGTATCCCTAAGTTCAGTGTCTTCCATATCTTATAGGGCATATGAGTTACAACCCTCCATCAGCTGCCTTTTGAAGGAGCAAGCATTTTATCCGTGCAGCAAAGGAGGGAAGAAGAATGGCAAGGCCGGTGGTTCAACAAAGCCCAGATCAGCGGACCCAGATGTGTGTGCAAGAAGCTTTGTAAATTATAAAATAAAGGTAAATTTCATACCTCTCAAAATATCCAGGCTCTCTGTTGAGCATAACTGCAAGTGAGACCCAAACCAGTATAAAACATCGTAACTTACTTACTGGTGAAGAGCTCTATGTGGAACAAAAATATTGCATTCAACTTTATAAAATATTTACTCCATTGGCTGAAAAGCTTACACGAGAACTCACAGATGGAGGGTAATTTGACGGAGTCATCGCTTTTCCTACGGTCTCGTACTCATTTCATTTGGTATCCCAGAACAAGCTTTCTACAGACGACTGGTTTTGCACATCCGCCTACGCCGTGCAGCCCACCTTACAGCACAGCCAAAAGCAAGCCAACACCATAGAGCCTTTTGGGAGAGACACCCTTCTGTAAAGTTCTTTTGGAAACAATGCAAGTGCATAAACCACTACTCTAATATAGTGCTCAAAAGATTAATTTTAAATTTTATGTCTTCCCCTCACACACCACCACGGCGGAAGGTAATTGCTAGATGTGTCATAATCTTTTTTATCGTGTAAAACTTGGCATCAAGTCTCTATGGAAGGATGCATGGTAAAACAGTGCTGTTGCTGCTGCTGCTGCTAAACAACTAGCAAAATAATATTTAAAGCTAGGATTTATTGCTCTGGATTTAACTCGCAGAACCACACCGTTGTGTACAAACCGTTAATCTCCATAGATGCTCAGACGTGATTGTCTCCTTGTGTCTAAACACACAAAATACAAGCTGCTATCTGTACAGTTTACAGTACTGAAACACATATATTTGAAAATGAAGTATAGATATGTTACTTTTCAGAGATACATGACTTTATAGCAGGGGTTTACCCAAACTTTTTTTTTTTTACAGCCACTTTAAAAATAGACAACAACTTCACTAGTATAGCTAAGTTACATCAAAGAAAGAATCGGAGTACTTAATGTGGATCAATCGGCCAATTCCCCAGGCTCCCAGATTTTTTGTGGTTTGTTTTTTGAGGAAACCCCTATACATAAATGAAAATAGTATCTGAGTATATTCTTCAATGGTGGACTAAGCAGTTTCTTAAAACAAGACTTTAGCTTGCCATTCACTTCGGACTGCCTTGAAAATAAGATACACTACTGCTTAAAAGAACCATCGGAATGCTTCAGCGCTGGGAACAGGTGTTCTCTAAAAAAGAAGCAAGAAAACAAGTTAAGCTTTCTTTTGTGGCATTGCAATATTCGATTTTGTCTAGTTGCTTTCTTCCCTTTACATTTTAGCCATACCTGCAGTTATCTAGGAACAACATGATGCCTTGTATAGCTTGGCAACTCACAGACACATCCTTTCTCTAAACACATGCCATTCAGGAACTAATACACATAGGTCTTTGTCAAAACATAACACACCTAACACGCTATTTCCTCCTTAGTTAAGCAAGGTAGTTATGGAAAAGAAAACATTGTTATTAAAAAGAAATAACAGCAAATAAAGGAGTCCGAAGGAGAAGGGCGCGTGCTGCGGAAGGGCCGCGCGGCCGGGCCGGGGCGCTCAGTGCGGGCGGCCGCTTCCTTCGCCCCGCGCGGAGGGCAGCGCTGCGGCACGCGGGCGCCGCTGTCCTTAGCACGGACCTTCGGCGAGGGACACGTCCCGCTGCGGGGAGCGGACTGGCCTCCGGTTTTCTCCTCGCGGCTTCCCCTCGTCTGCCCCCAGGATTAATGACCATTCACTAACCACAGCGGGAGCAGCACCAAGCCCGGAGGCAACTCTGTGCTGGTCGGGCCCAGCACACAAACCCTTGTTTAATCAGCGAGTGTCCACAGAGAGCAGGGCTGCATGCAGTGAAACCCCCCAAGGGCAAAGCCCTAGGAAACAGCAATTAAATCCTGGCTACAAAGGAGCTCTCCCTCATCTTGTCGATGTTATAAACAAATATCATGTCTCTTTTTGAAGGTTCTCTTTAATTTTTGTCTTGGTAAGCACTGTCTGGTTTTGTCCTGGGCTAGCCTTCCTCTCAGGTTTAACACTTGTGTCCCCAGAAATACGGGAGGCAAAAATATTTCAGCTGTGTCACCATCATTCTCAACTAGGGGCCGTGGACATTCAAGCCCCCTCCATGGATGTGGAAGTTTAATAAATCATCTGAAAATTAACTTCCAAGGACAACAAGCCAGCTTGTCAAATAAAATTCCCCGGAAGAGCAGGCGTTTGCTCCATGTCAGTGCCCGGGGCAGGACCTGCCCGTACCCAGCGCCCGCTGCAACGCGCATGCAGCGCCAGCACAGGGCCGGCCTGGCCCAAGGACGCCGCGCGGCGCGACACGACTGCCCCGTGCCGCCTCCAATATGGCTGCTGACAACGTGCGAGGTGTGCGGATTCATAATTTATAAAGAAGTTGACGGGAAGAGAAGCTTGGGTTCAGCGCAGCGGCAAACAATTGCAAGGCTAAAACAATTTCCAAAGAGCCAAACATGCAAATGCATTAAACTTAATATATTGACTTCACCTGAAAACCAAATGTAATATTCTCCTCTGGGTCCATCTACCTACACACAAAGCCACAGATAGATAGATTGATTTAAAAAACAGAGACGGAAAATGCCTTTATTTATTTTCTTGCAGCGTCAGGCTGACTTACTGTCAGACACTGTCATATCAGCTGGAAGTAAAGGTGCAGTGTCTGATTAAAAGGTCATTCAGACCTTTAAATACATGGAATAATATTTTTGAAGGGCAAGGCTCTGGTTTAATACGTGTGCTTTAAAAAAACCTACAAGATAAGGAATTTTGCATCCGCACGCAAAGTTCTAATTAAAGATATACATTTACAATTAAATATCCACGGTGCTAACCCCCGATTTGGGAATGAATTATTAATCTATGCTTAAACAAAAAGCTTTTAAAATAGAACAGGTGGCTCAAGTTAAATCAAAACCAATTTCTGTGATGAAATCCTTTGATTTTACCACTCCAAGACTCAAGGTTATTTCAAGACCAAATGCCATCTTTCAGCCCGCTCAGTGGCTCGGCACACCAATATAGAAGCTTAAGTGCAACGACCATCCACCTTCTGCTTGGATAAATGCAAGAGTCCCAGCTGGGGAATCAAACCCTGGGCGAGATTACGACGAGTTTCTGGGCCTCGGCTGGGCTTGCAGGAAATCATTACCCCGAGTGTCAGGGAAGACAGATTTCCCGGGAAGGGGAGGGAAGGGGGGCGGCAGCGCGGCCGGAGCGGATCAGCGCTGTGCGCGGCTGCCCTCGGCGCTCCTGCTGCTGCTGCAAACAGCAGCCTCGCTCCCGGGGGAGAGGCCGCAACCTGCAGCCCCGGCTGCTCCCAGCAGGTAATGCCACGAGCACGGGAAGTTAGCCCTACACAACCGCGTATGAGACCACCTTCAGCCTTAAAACTCTCTTGTTCCCTTTCTCTTCTTGCCAGCTTTCACTGAAAACTGAGCTTGCTACAGAAGTAGGAAGAATGGCTCGAACACCGGAAATGCAATATCACCTTCACATAGAGAACCAAAACCACTACGTTTTTTTGGCTTCATGAGAAGGCAAGAAAAAAAGCAAGCAAACACAACAGAACTGTGAAGTATCCTTAAACAAAGCAGTGTGGAAAAACCACTGGTATCTCCACCAGCCACAGCAAGAGGCCCAGTAACTCCAAAGCAGGCCCCTCATGTATGTGCACGCAGGCACACACTTACAACGGGTTAGAGCAGTAGAATGACACACGCTGCGAAACTTGTCACCAGAGACTCCGTTCTGATGCTTGCTGTTGGGTGCTGTTGGGCTCCCGACGCTGGCGCCTGTGGGACACTCTGGGGCCACCAGCTTGCCCCGCTCAGCCCCACTGCTTGGAGGAACGTCGAGAGCCGCTGCTACCTCGTGCCTATGGTACTTCGTGGAGACGCCCCCTCTCCCGGCTGGCGGAGCCTCGCAGCTCGCAGCTGCCTGGGAGATTTGCTGCGCAGCTCGGAAGCCAGGGAAGCCGAGAGCTCCTGCTACGCTGTGCTGGTGCTGGGGCTGCAGACCACATTCACAGCGGCGTTTGGAAGCCTTGGCGTAAGTCATCTTTGCTATTATCTTCTGCAAGGCTAGGGAATCGCTGCGGGAGAGGTGAACCACATTCATAAATAAAATAGTAATAAAATACAGCAGAGCGCTACGTGATTACAACCCAATACTTTACCAGCGTTTAAGGAGGTTGCCTGATGTACGAATCCTTTCGTGTTTGATCCACAAGCAAAAATCCTCTTCTCCCAGAAGCAACCTGGCACACTGGCTAGAGCAAGCTGCAGTGCAGATACACAAGTCCTCCTTCCCCTCGAGCAGCCCTGGCTGAAACAAGCAGCTCTCCAGGAGGTACACTGCAGCCAAGGGGTGAAGATTTGGGCTTCCTGACAGCGCCCTTACACAGACATAGGTGACTGCAAAAAAAAAAGACAGGAGCCAAGGAGCTGCTTTCTTAATGAATCCGAAACACAAATCCACCAGAGCTGAAACAGGTGGATTTTCCTGTATTTCCCAAAGCAGTGGGCTGGTGCTAGTCACACACAGGGAAAAGCGACCTTCACAGTATCTTCACAGGTGCTCTTGAGTTTCTCACACTGGAGGACGATCCCTTCTTGAAAGTCCTTCCACGAGATGCGGAGCTTAGGTCAGTGGACGCACGATGTAAAATCTGTCCCGCTAAGCTCAGAGACAGAGAAATCTGGTGGTACATGATGGCAAAACAAGTTCACCCGCAAAGCCTTGCTCCCAGCGTGAAATGCTGTGTGGGTCAGTCAGCAGCCCACAGCAGACACTGAGCACCACCAGCAGCGAGGCCTGACCCGGGCTTGTCTCATAGGCTGGTGAACGTGGAGTCTGGCCCTGCTTAATCCCGTAAATGCCACAAGGCTTTGGAGAAGGGCTGAGAGCCACAACATCGAGGCAGTAAGCATCCTCTGCCCCTTCCTCCAAGCCAGGTCTTACACTTCCAGCGCTGCAAGCTGATTTAGGGGGCAACCGATCCCAATGGACATGACGTCTAACACACAGATACTGCTGCTCGTACAGAAACTGTCCCGAGTCTCTGCAGAGCTGGGTGAGTGAGAGCGGCGCTGTGCAAGGCTGCCAAGGACGCGAGGTCCCTCCCCGAGCCTCCTCTGCCAGCCTGTGCTCTGCACAGCAGCTCCCCTCCTCCTTCCTTAAATGCTGAACCACCCTGAGAGGAAAGCAGCCTTTAAAATTATCTATGGCCCACTTTGTTCTTCTCATAAATATACATTACCTACAGCATTGACTTTGGGGAAAAGCTCCTAATGCTCAAATTCAGCTCACACAGTTTCCTTGAATGTTTTTCTTTGGGCCGGCAAGCTTGGGGGCAGAAAAAAAGCCTGAGAATTCCCAGCCCTGGAAAGGGGAAAGGGGAAAGGGAGGGAGGCGTCTAGTCCCTGGAGCAGCGCGTTCCTCCCAGCCGCTCCGCTGCCTGCGCGAGGGAGCCCTGCCAAGCTGCGCGACCCCGGCGGGACGCCCAGGGACAAGGTGTCGCTCCCACGGGTTTTACGGCACTGGCTAGTACAGGAGGGCTCTCTGTGTGGGAGCAGTCGGCTCCTTCCCGCCCTGACAGCTTCCCACAAAACCTCAGGTGCAGGGAGAGGGGCTGCGGGCTCTCGATGAGGTGTGAAACAGCCCATGAAGCTGTGACACCTCTGCCAAAATCCCTGAGTACCCATGGACGCAGCCTCCTGCTCACGGGACTCGCTATCACGCTCTGCCACCACCCACTCATTACCAGCTTCTTTTTGGACTTTCTGGATAAAAAGAGATGAGGCCGTCAGGTCAGAAACTCAGCAGTGAGTTTGTTTTAACAATGCAAGTTAAAACATCTCCCACCATACCTGAGCTACGGACCTGCCTCCCTCTGCAGCGGGGATGAGGTTTAACATTTGTTTTAAAAGCCAGCTTTATTTGCTCTGAGAAGACACGAATCTGCTTGCTGGCAGTTATTTTTCCACTCGCGCTGCCTCTCTCTCATGTGGAGTTTGACACGAACCAGACTTGGAGCACACCAGATTAGGAAACTCATTTAACTTTCTCTGACACCAACTCCACGAAGCGAAAAGCAAACCTCCGCCCCAGGGTACTACAAATAGAGACTCAAAAAATGAACTGTTAATTCGGGGACAAAAAGCACAGCT